AAGAGACAAAAGAACATAAAAATATGTCAAACTAATATTTATTCTATCCTAAAATAAAACAAAGAACTCTGAATGCTGCAGATTTGTTCCACCCTCCTATTTTTATGGTTGTTAGCATTTAGCACCAGGAATAGTCTACTTCTTAGCTCATTAATATGTGTGAGAATGTATGGGTCACAATCAGGAGGATACTGCATTTGTCTGTTTCAAAATGTTATCGACTCAATTCTTCCCAGAAATAGAGGAGGGGTTTATTGCAAAATCTTGTAACTCAGGACAGTTCAGGGGTCATGAAAGAAGAGGTCAAAGCTTACAGTCTGTGTGTGTGTAAGAAGTGGGGAGAGAGAGAGAGAGAGAGATATGCTGACTACATATTAGGACTGCTGCAGTTGTCTGTATTGCTAGGTAGGCAGCTTGGCAAGGAGTTAGATGGCTCTGTGCTGTTTGAACTCAGGAGGATATTCTTCAAGTTAGTAGGCAGCTAAATATTGGAGTCATGTTTCAGAAGAAGTCCTGGGAAATTAAGAAAGTGAGATGCTCATTGACTGTGTTGCGGGAAAATATGAAGGGTTCAGAGGAAGGCTGCAAGCGTCATGACTTCAGTACAACTGAGTGAATGGGAATTGTAAAGCCAATAAGCAGAATTTTCTGGACGTAACTGAGTAAGATTAGACCTCAGAGAGAAAAAAAATCATAGAAAGCTTTAGCTTGGTGAAAATAGCTGTCAGTGAACTAGAGTTATGTGTGTGAATAAACACTGGGGAGCATTTTTGAAGTCCAGCTGAGCATAGAGGTAAAGGTGTGCTTGACCAGAATTTTGAGGCTATTCATGATGGAGCTGTGCTAGAGAGGGAGTTTCAATGGAGGCAAGATCAATAAATGTGAAGAATTGTAATCCTTTGTGAAGTTTGATGAGATTTGATGATCCATCATCTAATTAACATCTGGGGGATAATGCAGAGGAAATGGTTGGGGGGGGCGGTGTTTATTTTGTGTTTGCCATTTGATGTGTGCTCTGGGGTGTTTGATCATAAACTGAGACAAATGTTTATTCTAAGTGCTATGCCATAATTTGAGTTTATATTACAGATTGTCTTACTAATGTTGTATCATAAAGTTTACTGTTTGTCCAAAATTGTGAAATCTTCTTTCTTTTTCTCAACATGTCCCCTAAATCTTACATTTTGAAGAGTTTGGAAATAACAAGTTACTGGTCCCTAGCCAGACCGTAACATAAATTTATTGGTTTAGCCCCGGATCAAAACTCAATGCTCATGTTTATGTTAGTAGTACCAATTTAGAACTCAATCATTGGTGTTTAATTTTTTTCTTCAATTTAGCCTATTTTGTTTTAATCAACCTGTTCAGAGATGTTATTACACACATTTGAAGCACGTGGGACTTGAACGTAGACCTCCTGGTCCAGGGGTAGGGATGCTACCACTGTGCAATAAAGGCCCCTTCATTGGTTGTTTACCCTTTCCTCCAGAATACACTTCAGCTGCTCAGTAACATTCTGAACCCAGTTACCAGAGAAGCAATGTATTAAATTGACTTATACTGCAGCTGCAGAAATGCCTGTCTGTTCTTTTAACAATTGATCCTCTTTCACTATTGCATTTGCAATCTCCCTTCTGCCTTGCTTCCATGCTCATACAGGTGAAACATCCTTGATGTTAAGGACTTGGAAGACAGGAACTTGGCTGGGAGGAGTTTGCATCGTCAACATCATTATGAAGTTGATTGGTAGGAGTGTGTTGCAGGTCAGTATCAGTGTAAAGCCGACTAGGAGAATAGATTTCTTGAAAAGGCAGCAGTCGTAGGAGAGATAAAACAATGGCAGAGTGTCCTGTTTACTTGCTCTACCTGTCAGAGCTAAAGTGTGAAGGAAAATAGCTAGGTGATTTTTGGGTATTTTCTTGTGTGTCTCTTTTGAGTGACTATGTGGTTTGAATCAGGAGATGTTATTACAGCTGAGGAGTACAGTTAGGAAATTAATTAATGAAATAGTGTAGAGATGGCTTGGCAGATGACATGTTGCAGCTGTAGTATGTGGGATCTTGTGGATGCCAGTATGAGTCACTGTCGCCATATCTGCAGCAAGTGTTGGCTGCCCAAGGAACTTTGACTCGGGGCTGATAAGCTGGAGTCTGAATTGCAGCGGACACTGCAACACCACATCAAGAAGGGGGAGAGGTACATAGACAATACATTTCAGGAGACACACATCCATTAATTACATGAAATTTAGTCCTTGATCAAGGACAGGAGGGTGTGACTGCAAGTGAGGTAGGTATTAGGATTCAGAATTTAGCTTTGGACAGGAAAGGGCAGAAAATATATGCAGAAGACAACAGCAGAAATTAAGACCAGAATAAGTAATAAAGTGAAAAGTCAAAGCACAAATCTGTTTTTTTGAATGCTCACAGCATTTGTAACAAGTTCAATAAGTTGAAAGGACAAATACAAATAAATGAATACAACATGTTAGATTTAATGAGATGTGGTTGCATGGTGACCAGTAGTGTGAACTCAATATTCAAGGGAGTTGATTGTCAGGAAGAATAAGCAAAAAGGAAATGGAGGTGGGGTAGCATTGTTCATTAGTGGCCCAGTCAGGAAATCTCTCTTCAAATACACTAGACTTTTCAGTGGGGACGGTTTGAAACTAATGTTTGTTCAAATCAATACCTACTACCCCCACTGCCCTTCTAATGTCTTCCTCTAATTCACTAAGTAGTTTTTTTTACCCCCATAATATCCTACTTCAGTTCTGTTTTATGTCTAGGAGCTGGTGGCTGTTTGAAATCATCACTCTCTAACTCCAGGATATGAGATTCTAAACATTTCCTTTTTTGATGTAAGAAGAAGGATATCAAAATTCATATCTATTGTTATAACCAGTTCTTCCCTTAATGGCCTAGCCTCAGCTGGTGACAGAGGTCTCTACATGGTTGTGAATTCCTCTTTAACCACAGCAGGACTCCCTTCTCACCTTATTTTTGACACCATACCGCACTTTTCAGCATGGCTCTTGTTACCACATATACTGGCTTTGCTTTGCTTCACTTCTATGAGAGAAGGAGAGATTGCTTTCAACTGCATTGTCCCAAAAAGGCTGAAATCACCAGGGGAAACCATTCTTGCATTTGCTTTCCCCATATGTATCAAGGTCGCTTATCACACTAGCAGAGAATGTAGATTCACTGCTTGTTGTGGGCTAATTTCTGTCTGGAGTTGTTTAATTTTAGTTATAACTCTTTCATCCTCTAGTTCTCCCGTCAATCCTGCATCCTCTGCTCTCAACTCAATATTTTCCAATATTTTCTCTGTTTCTCCTTATAGGATCCCTCATTACATGTTTCTATCTGCTATCTTAATTCTGTGTAAGATGTCACTTTCCCTTTTTAACTTTGTAACTTGTTCCCTAGACTCCTTGCATTTCTTACTCAACTGCAAGGCACACATGTGGGCGCTGAAGGCCAGTTTATTATAGAATTTCTTTATCTTAACCTTATCCTTCAAAACCTCCTGACAGAGTCTGTCAAAAATAGATTTGTAATTCCCATCACAGTCTTCTAGGCATGCTTCTTTTGCTTCAGGTGTCCTACTTTCTCAATCAAGCTTTCTATTAACTCTGTCTAGAAAAGGCCAAAGCCATTGCACCTTTCTGGTTTCACTTCAGGGTTATTCCACAAGTGTTTAACTACAATCTAAGACTGCTGCTTCCCAAATTTAAAGCCAATTAAATTTTGACTTCTGTTCAGATATCTGATATCAGAGATACCACTTCTGACACCCTGCTGATTTTGGATGTCATGATCACATTACCTGATATAGGCAGTTGACAATTTGAAGCACTTTTTAAATAGTTTCCTGAAGTTGTTAAGAAGCAGCAGGTTGAATATAATACATTAGTTAGTTATACAAAAATATTCAATAGTGACAGATGAGACTGTTCCACTGATCCCAAAACCAGGAGTGCTGGACTGTTCATTCTTCATACCATGCAGTCCGAGGTGGATCTATCTTCGTTCATCTCTTGGACTGATGTAGGGCAGCTCTTGGTCCCATCAAGGTAGTGCATCCACTTTCTCTCTTTCTTGCCACCTGTCCCTGTTGATGTATCTTACTTTGGTGCTAGTATCTCTGCTGTGTCAAGCAACTGTCTAAACTCTCAACCAATGGTTATGGGAAGATACTCATGATGCCAGGATGACCGTTGTCTCCCCTGCCCATCTCCTTTTGAAGATTAGTTTTTGTTCCTTCTCAGAACCAAAGTTTCTTATTTTCTAAAATGCTGTATTCATAATTGAGTAGTGTGGTGCCTGGTAAATCTCTTGTTTACCTTTGTCGAAAGCTAGTTTATACTGCAACACAGTTAAGTGAGGTGACAGGAAACACTAAACATGGAATACTAAAACAAACTCAATTCTAAAGGTGACCCCAATGTCCAATGTTTGGGGATTAGAGCTTAAAAATAGGAACTCCGGTTAGGAAAACAGTTAACATTTCGAGTCCAGTGATTCTTGTGCTCTGACGAAAGGTCCCTTCTCGAAATGTTATAGCTGTTTTCTCTTCGTAGATGCTGCCACACCTGTTGAGTTTCGATAGCAATTTCGATTTTTGTTTCAGATTTCCAGCGTCCACAGTTCTTTGCTTTTTTTTAAAAAAAAGTCTAGTGTGGTTCTCATTTTCAAACCAAAACAAGAAATAAATTTTATTTCAAGCTCTGATGAACGGTCATCTAAACTTGCTCTCTCTCCATGGATGCTGCCTGACCCGCTGTGATTTCTAGAATGTTGTGTTTTCAGATCTCTTCATTTAGAAGCGTGAGTTCACTTGCTTTTATTTGAGCCGGTGTCGTCGGAATAATCTCCTTTGGTGCTGTGTTTTATCTGGTCTGATCACAGTTTGTTTGCTGCTGGAAGCGTGATCTGATCTGTATCGAGTCTGCGGAATGTGGCTTCAAGCCTGGGGTATTGGTGGTCTGCTCAGTGATGTAACCTCTTCCTCACGTGATGCGCTGGGGAATCCCTCGTTTGGCGGAGCCCCCAGTTCGACGCGATGATGTCGCCGCGCGAGGATTGTGCGTGTGAACGTCGTGAGCGACCGCTGGGCGCTCGCGATCCTGAGGCCAATTCAGTCGGCGCCATATTGCGAACCACTGGGGAAAGAGAAAGAAAGTGAGTGAGCGCGGACCGGGAGGCGAAGGCAAAACTTTGGAGAGAAGCTGAGGGAGTCTAAGTCCGCTTCAAGCTGAAGCAAACTGCACCCAGTTTGACGCCTGGCAAACTCAATGGTGAGCGAGGGAAGGCAGCAGGAGGCGGCTGTTGTCGTTTGTGGAAGTTGTGAGTCCGCGCTAGCCGTTTACGGGGGTTCGCGTGAGAAGGAGGAGGGACTGTTGTCCCATGTCCTCGGGAACTTAGCGCAGGGCGGAGCGGGGAGGACAGGCTCCGGGCGAGCGGTAGTATCCAGCCCAGTCCCGGCCGGTAAACGGGTAATGAAAATGGTCACCTTGGGAACTTATGTCCTGTCAGTGATTGTACTCCAAATGAAAAGCAACAATATTTGGGGGGCTGGGGCTGGGGTGGGAGAGGTTCAGAGGCAGTCCCAAGTACCCGGGAGGTGGGGTAGGTGTCCCAGTCTCCGTCTCCGTCTCCAGGGCAGTCGGCTGTGAGGCGTTATTTTCCCCGGAAAGTTCCTGGGCTGTCGGTCCACTTCATTTTGTAAACTATTCACACGTTTTCGCCCACAGGCCCCGTTGCAATTAAAACAAAATCACTGTTCTTTGATATTTTTGTGTCTTATGAGGGTTCACTGGTGATATGTTGTATTGGCTTTGCGCCGGTCCCGAGTTAATTATACTTTCAGATCATAGGCGTTGACTTTTCATTTTCCCTAAAAAAAAAGGTCGTAGCAACAAGTCCTTGTTTTTTCAAGTTGTCGTTTCTGGGCGTATGCTTCTGGTTGAACTGGTAATACGAGCTTTCACTGGATTTGAATTTATCGGTTAAATCTAGCATTGGAGTTGTTTGGATTGAACACCAGTGTCCGAAATTGACACACGTGCCGTCAAAAAAATTGTTTAAATTGTTCGACTTGTCAGTGTAAAACATACAGTGCTTAAACAGTTACATATGTAACATATGTAACTTATGTATCTCGGATAGAACTTGTTTAAACTAATCCAGTTTCTACGGTCTCTCAACTCAAACTTAATGTTGGTTGAGGATCTGAATGTGAACTAAATTATCAGGACTGAAATCAGGAAGCGCTTCATACAAGGGCTAGTGCAAATTCAAAAGGCTGTGGATGTGAGTTGAATTGTTGAGGACTGATCAGAAAACTTGCTGGGTGCCTGTGTAGAGTTATGGAGCAAAGGCGGATAAATGGAAGTTCAGGTATGAATCACCTCTTGAATATTTGTATTTGAATGGTCTACTCCTATTTCCGTGTGTTTCAGTTTAACTGTTAAATGTCATAAGTAGTCAATTTATAATTATCCTGATATTTCATGGAATTCATTCCATGTATTCCTCTTGCAGCACTCCTAATTTAGCAGGGCATTTACCCAAAGAGAATATGCCACCTTATTCAAGTTATAAAAGCACATTACTACTGAAGAGAGTTTACTTTTCTTAATTGAATTTCTCTGTCAAGTTAACATCAATTTTTTAAAATTAAAAATATTTGCATTGGAACCATATCTGAGTACTTCATTGTGATCTTTTGTTCATCGGTGCTATTAAATCTAATGGTTAAGGGGCGGTCTACTGATTTTTCTAGTGACTTCTTGAAGGAAACTTAGGATGTTTTTGGAAATCTTGGCAATGCTAAGAGGTTGACTTTTGGAGCTACAAAGTTTATAATTTAAATTAACTTTAAGTTTTATGTTGATGTGGCATTGCTGCACTTGTGTTCTGGACTCTGTTGTGCTTGAAAGAATGCCGTGTGTGATGGGATTGGTTTGTGTAGTGGTAGTAATTTAAAGAAATAAAACAAACAACTGTGGATGCTGAAAATCTGAAACAGAAGTAGAAATTGCTGGAAAAACTCAGCACATCATCTATGGAGAGAAAGCAGAGTTAACGTTTTGAGTCCATTGATCCAGCCTCCTGCATTTTCTGTTTGTGATCATTTAAATATTAGTTAAGCTATGTTTGGACTCTTAGTCCACCCCAAAAGTACTCGACAGATCTTGCGTAAAATGTATTTAAGATTTTAGAATGCAAATGAATTGTGGGATGTTTAGTTTTTCCATTAAAATTCAGGATAATTATCTAAAGCTCGAATTGTAACAGAGAAATATTTAGAAATTGCACCTATGTTGGTGGTGTTCCTCCAAATTGTTCTAAAACATCCTAATTTCAATCTGTGTGACTGGTTTCCATCCCCTTATCACTCTTCAATTTTTTTTTCCTTCTGGAAAAATGTTTTAATGCATTTTCTTGTGAAAGAAATAGGTAGTGTCTTGAAGGTGGACAATTTCATTGAATCATTGGAATGATTTGTAAAGGAAGAAATGTCAAAAAATTGATGGAAAGCACTCTGCAAGTGGTGAAACCAGATTATGGGGTCTTGGATATCGCCAGTTCACTTGTCATCTACTGGCACAAAATGGTGAATGTATAAAACGAATCTACAACACATTTCTCCATTTGCTAAAGTAATTGCTTTAAAGAAAAACATGTATAAACATTAGGTTACAGTTTAATAGTAAAATTGAAAGGTATGAAAAAGCTTCAGTTAAGTAATCAGTTTGCATCTCAAGATGTTCATGGAGATAGACTTGGAGGTGATGCTACCATTAAAACAAATTAATCTAGCCTTTCTTTTATTGAAGGTAGTCACTACTTGGCACTGCATGGTGTAATTGTTACCAGTTACTTATTAACAAAAGCCTGAATTTCATACAAGTTCTGTTGTTGACCGGCAGGATTTGCTTTATTGTTACAGGAGTTGTAAGTTGATCTGCAGAAATGTCAGCAGGTAACCTGACATTGTCAAAGATCAAAAGTCATTGAGCCAACCAGTTGGTTCGGCCAAAGGTATTTCCCTCAGGACATGGTGGTAGGTACATAATAGCTATTGCCAAATTCCTTGCTTTGCATATTCCTGACCACAAATTGATTTTCCTGTTGACTTTCCACTGATTTTGATTTTAAGGCTCCTATTCTTTGTCAATGATATTGAACATGGCTATTGTCATATTGTCTTTGGATTTTTAGCCCTTGTGCCCATGTCTGGATTAATGAACTTTGAGATGTGAAGTCTAGTAGAGTCAGTAAAGAGAGATTTTTGGTGAATAATTGGAGCTTGATAGTGCCACCGTTGACTCCTTCAGTTGCTTTACACGTGACCCATCCTTGTAGCTGAAATCTCCATACCTGGAACAATTCCGTGAATCTTCTCTCAACCTCTCAAAGGTCCTAAAATACTTCCTAAATTGTGGTGATCAGTAATGAGGCGTAGCACCTGACTTTTGGTCTCACCCAAATTTTACATAGGCTAGGCATAACTTCCTTACAATCGATACAAGTTGACTACTCTGTCGGTGTGTCGTTTCACCTTCAAAGATTGAAACACAGACCCTTGTCATGCTGTATTTCTGCATGCTAGGCAGAACTGTCAATCAGTCTGTTTTGCAGCCACATGTCTCTTCTGCCAAATACATCACCTTTCACCACTTGGTATTGAATTCCATCTGCTATTGTCTGCGTGTTATAATAATATATCTAACAGCTGATTAGTATCATCAAGGTTTGACGCACATCTAAGTTTGGCATAATCAACTACCTAAGTTTTAACTGTGTTCTGATAACTATATCACTCATGTTTGTCAAAGATAAAAGCAGTGGTTGGAGCTCTGACCCTTGGGGAATGCCACTGCCAATCATGCTCCAGCCTGAAAAACATCTGAACAGTTCCGAGGGGTCACCAGACCCGAAATGTTAACTCTGATTTCTCTTCACAGATGCTGCCAGACCTACTGAGTTTTTCTAGCAACTTTGGCTTTTGTTTCTGAAAAATATCTATTTACCGCCTATGTTTGTGGCTGATGTTATTGGTGGACAAGTTGAATTCCAGATTGAATTCTGGTTATCCTGGATATTTTGGTTTCCTTTAGTTTTATTGAAGTGGTTTCATGTGCAAAATGCTGTAGCGTTTAAAATAGAAATGAAGATAGAATAAACCAAACAATTTACTGGGAACAAAAGTTCAAGCATTTTCACCCACACAGTAAATATATAATCCCAGTAATCACCAAATGCCACTTTGTAAATTGAAAAGAAAAACAACAGGCTTTGTGTCAAACCCAAAAGACACCTTGTATAATATCCAAAGTTGCAACTCCAACAATATTCATGAGTCCAAGTCCCTAACACCTTGGTTGGTTTCTTTCACTTGCGACTTCATTTTATGGCCTGGAACTGCATGTTGCTTATTCCTGGACCTATTGTAAACCTGACCTTAAATGTACTAGCTTTAAGTAACCTCTTCAAGGTTTTATCCCAATACTTCTGATCTGGGACAAATGTTAACTCTTCACTCTACAGTAACCTACTTCATTATATCCTTTCTTTCACAGGATTGCTTGTTTACAGACATCTTTGTCCAAGTTATAGAACTGTACAGCATGAACACAGACCCTTCGGTTCAACTTGTCCATGGCAACCAGATATCCTAAATTAATCTAGTCCCATTTTCCAGTATTTGGCCCATATCCCCCTCAACCCTTCTTATTCATATACTCATTCAGATGTCTTTTAAATGTTGTAATTGTACCAGCCTCCTATGTTTGCATCTAAATCGTTTATATAAATGACATAAAGCAGTGGACCCAGCACCGATCCTTGTGGCACAACCGCAGGTCACAGGCCTACAGCCTGAAAAGCAACCCTCCACCATCACCTTCTGTCTTCTACCTTCGAGTCAGTTCTCGTCCAAATGGCTAATTCTCCCTGTACTCCATGTGATCTAACCTTGCTGACCAGTCTGCCATGAGAAACCTTGTTGAGCACCTTACTGAAGTTCATATAGATCAGGTCCATCGCTCTGCCTTCATCAATCTTCTTTGTTACTTCAAAAAACTCAATCAAGTTACAAGACTGAGCAAAACTAAACCAAAAGTAAATCCCTCTAAGTTTTCCTTCAGTTTAAAAATACTATAAGTTCAGAAATCTCTATAACAAACCTTAAGGATCGATGGCTGGTTTGCGAAACAATCTTAGATAAACAAAAATCTATTAAGGTGTGCAAAAATCCATTAATTCAAAAGCTAGACCTTGAAGACTGTTTAAAAGAAAACAACATGGCTACAAAAATATTTAGAAGTTAATTTTTAAGC